ATAACTGAATCAGTTGTTAGGGGTGTTGTAAATCAAACTTAATTCTAGAAGTTTGAAAAGTAAAAAAATTATGGCTTTGGAAAAGTGAAGAATTTGAAAGGCAAGCAAAATAGAATAACCATGTGAAGGAAAGTTTGAGTCGGCAAGAAGAGTTTGAAAAGTAAAAAAAGGCTGCAAGATAGGAAGAAAGTGGCAGCTTCTTGAAGTTTAAACTAGTCGGTTTAATTAGCTTATAAATATATGCAATGTATGAGAGGAATACAAGGGAGAAAAATGAAGGCTTAGAAAAGGCAGAATGAAAAATAGCTTAGTAAAGCTATTAGAGAAGAAATATGAGGAAAAGCTTAGAAAAGCTAGAGAGAATTGAGAGAGCTTAGTAAAGTTTAGAATAGCGAGGTTGTGTTTGTAAACTAGCCGCAGCTAGTGTTATAGTGTTGTAATATTGTAATGTTGTGATAACGTCATTGTAACGTATTTTACCTCGTATTAATAATATTTCGAGTTAGAAAAATTACTCGAGTGCCCTCTTACGCTTCCAACATGGGGTCTCCTAATCTTACTAGACATAGATCTCTGCTCAAACTTATGAGACTAAGTAGGCGCAAAATTCATCGAACCCCTAAAATTTTTAGTTTTTTAGTTGAAGATTGTTATAATCCCATTTGGTGTAAAGTTCTCTTGTTCAAATTACTAGACTCTCCCCCTTGTTTGATTCTACATATTTTGAACCCTGTTAACTGCCTTTTCTTGTCGAGTTAATTCTAAAAACACTTCCAAAAGTTATGTTGCTAGTTGGGTATGTATGTCAACATGGAGTCCCTCCAAAAATTTCTAACATCTCAAAGACTCAATTGATACTATCTTTGGGTCATACCGGCTCAGTCAGAGAAAATCTCTCTCATACTCAAGTATAAACCTCTCCCCTTAAACTAATTGTAAGAACTCCAATCTTAAATCATCCATATGTGCCTCTTCAATGTATTTTTGTCGAAACTCACTCAAGAAGGGTTCCCATATCATCTTCTCCATTTGAAATGACACTTCCACTATTTCCCACCAATCAATATTATCCCCTTTTAAAAGGGATATGACGAACTCCAAGTTACCATCGGGAGTCAGATATAATTGTCTCAAAGTTCTTTGGGTCTCCTGCAACCACTGATATGAAATTATAGGATCATCCTCACTATAACCAAAGTACTCTATAGTCTTGTACCTCCTAAGACGTTCTACAAGTGGTTCTTGGACAGGTACAAGAAGAGGGGAAGAAACAGGAGTAGGTTGGACTCTAGGAATCACCTCATCTACACCGGCATCTCCCACTAATCCTTGCTCCTTAGAGTAAAAAAAAAACTCATCATTTGTGTCATTCAAAAGGAAACCTTGGCTCTCATTTTGAGCCTTGTGGTTATGCTCTAAGTCTCTAGGCATTATCTGTAATCCAACAATAATGAGTATAAAGAAAACACCATCATAATTCTAGTCTTAGAGGAGTACAATTGACTCTATGAGCCATGTATCCATGGACTCAAACTCAATTCTAACATGTAAGTCCTAGAACTAACTCAACCTAAGTTCTGATATCACTAAATGTAACACCCCAAACCAAACGTGTCAACACTAGGCTTAAAGTGTTGTATTTGGGCCTTAGAGTGACCCAAAATCTATAATATAAAAAATTCGTTAACTTAAGACTTCTTAGAAAAATATATCTTTCATATTAAAATACAAAACATATGATAGCTGAGACATTTGGTAACAAAATATAGAACTCCAACTCTTACATAATCCACAAAATATATAATGGTTCAAACAAGACCAAACAACAGACTGAATATGTCTATACAAACACAAGAAGACATGGAATGCACATCCCCCTAATAAAATTCAAAATTGTACTCTGGTAGTCAAGGTGATGGAATTCCTTAGCGACGGTGCTACCTATATCTACAATCAGTTATCAGGATCCTGAAAATGGTAAACAACTAAGGAATGAGCTATAAGAGCCCAATAATGTGTCACTATTCAAAGAAACACATATAACCATAAATTTAGAATGCAAGCGGAATATGTTATAAAAAAATCATCATAATTTGTATTCATACTTGGAGTATCATATTCTCAAGCTTTCGTTTACCTTATCAAACTTACTTGTCATCACTTATTTACCTCTTTACTCGACAATATCATGTGTCCCTAACTCGATAATATCTCATCACTCATTTAGGGGTGTATCACGTACAATACATCACCTTGCTTGTGATTAGGTGTGTATCTCGTACAATACATCATCACTCTCATGTTTAGGTGTGTACCCCATACAATACATCACATTACTTATAATTGGGTGTGTATCTCGTACAAATATGTCACTACTCTCATATTTAGGTGTGTACCTCGTACAATACATTACCTTGCTTGTAATAGGGTGTGTATCCTGTACAATACATCACCACTCTCATATTTTGGTGTGTGCTTTGTACGATACATAACGTTGCTTGTAATTAGGTGTGTATCTCATGCAATACATCACCACTCTCATATTTAGGTGTATACCCCGTACGATACATCACATTGCTTGTGATTGGTATCAATACAATTATTATAGTACATATACCTTGGAATGGTTCCATACCACTATTTTGGTTCCCAACCAAAAATCTAGTTCATATAAGAAAATATGGTTTCCAACCTAGGATCTGATTTCCAACCGAAAATCTAGTTTCCAACTTAAAATCTAGTTTCCAATTGAAAATTTGGTTTCAACATAAAATCTGGTTTCCAACCTGAAATCTTGTTTTTGATAGAAAATCTTGTTTCCAACCTAAAATCTAATTTTCAACTTAAAATCTAACTTCCAACCTAAAATCTAAATATTATGGTTCACATGGGTACTCTAATAATATAAATATATTACCTTAGCTTTGGTCAACAAAAAGAAAGCTCCTTACTTCTTTCTTCAAGCTTTCTCATTCCCTTTAGCTTGATTAGGTTCTCATTCTTCCCTCACTAAAATAAAATCATCAAATAGTACACATAAAAAAAAACTAACGAATGATAACAAGAAATACACATTTTCACCCTTTAAATCTCCTCCACTCTTTCCCTTTTCGTACAAACCCATTACACCTTATACGGGTACTACCTCCAAAACATGGAGATTCACTACTTAAAATAAAGCTTAAGCCATGAGGAGAATAATTATTACCTTAGACATTTGTTTTTATGGCTATGTGGTTCCAAATAAGAGAAACATATTAAAATGAAAAATAAAAAAGAAAAGAAGAATGAAGAATGAAGAAATATATATGTGGGTTTTTAAAGGTGGTGTTCGGGTCAGGTCAGATTCGGGTTTAGGGTGAAAAATACTCGACCCGACCCAAAAAGAAAATATAATTTTACCTTATATATTTAGAAATAATTACAATAATACCACTCGATATATTATTTTTTTCAATTAAATTACTATTTTTATTGAATAAAAAAAATATTTTTTATTATTTCGGGTCAGGTTGGGCCTGGTTCGGATTTTATTTCAAAAAGTCAGGTCGGGTGGAGGGTATATATTATGCAGATCATGTCAGATTTCGGGTCAAGGAGTCATTGTTCTCGGGTCGGGTCGGGTGGACCAAAAATCCGACCCAACCAGATCCATGCCTATCATTAGTTCTGGAGAACCCACTCTTCAGATGGTGTTACAAAAGTACGGGTGGGTGCATAAGCATTTGCATAACGTTCAAATCAATGATTATTAGTATTTGATTCAGACTATGATTATTATTAATTGATTCAGATTATTAGTATTTGATTCGAACTATGATTATTATTAATTGATTCAGATTATGTTTTGACTTGTGTTTTTTTATACTTTAGAGACACACTAAGTTTAATAACTTACTCTCATAGTTTCTTTGAGATATCAAAATCGAACTTAGGAGAATCGGTATCAAATTTTAGAATAAAACTTTATTTCAATATGAATTTTTTATTTTATTTTTCCTTATCGAACTTTGCTTATAATATTTTGAGATTACCTTTATTACTTGTATTTGAGACTTCGGACTTTATTATTATTTTTTGAATTGTTTTGCATGTTTTAATCATTTATTGTTCATATAGAATTTACTCAGACTTTTATTCTTAATAATATTTATTAAAGTTTAGAATTGATAAATGCTCCTGTGTTTTAAATGGATGTTTTAAAGTTTTAAATTAAAAACGATTTCATGAGGGACAAGTTTCAACATAACTATCTAATTCGATCTAAAAGAAAGTTTCAACATAACTATCTAGATTCAATCTAATTTCTTTTAGGTGAGATTTAGGGATAACAAATTAGACAACTTTAAAATATAACTAAAATATATATCTATTTATTTTACTTGATTGAAGAAATATTATTTTAATAAGTAATTGAATAAACTTTTTAATCTAATAATTAATTGGAATTTGAATTAAAAAAATCAACATGTAAAATGCAAATTATAAGTGAACATTCGAAAAGGAAAAATTCTACCAGGGAATAAGCATAAGTTTCTCTCCCTCTTGAAAATGAAAATTCGAAAATGCCTTTCTTATCATGAAAGAAAATGAATTGTCTGTCAGCCAGCAAGCTGTGTTCTGTCGAACAGATGGATTCCATTATCAAGACAGCGAGGACAAATCCCCCATTAAAGTTGAAGAAATATATGTTAAAACCAGCTGCCTACATCTTTTGACCTTTTTCACATTCTCTGCATATCAGAGTTCACAAGGAAACTAAGTCCCTTCAACTATGTAAATTTGGTCAATGTAAAGAAAGAAAAGCAAAAAAAAAAAAAAAAAAAACTATGATATGATAGCATTGCAAAATTGCCTAATTAAAATCATGAACAGTCAATCTACTAGTGCTTTCTTTTTCAATTTAACATCGGGATTTTCAAGTGAATTTCTTTAATATCTAACCAAACAAATTTCGGTATAAGGTTTTGTTTTACATTGAGAACAAGTCTGGGTTTTTGATTGGATTTGAATCTCGGTACTTAACCCTAAAACCTTAATGGATGATGATAATACCAAGAGCGTCTTCCTCACCGTGAGCTTTGCCTCACCGAACAAGCAACCACCTGCGCCCACTGCTTCAGCCTTGTCTTCACCGTCTGCGGTGGATCACCTTCATCGATTAAATAAGAAGATTAGATGTAAAATCCATTCCAAAAGATTTAGGGTAATCTAAATAGAAGATATTGCTTACCAGGGCCAAAGATGGTGTGGGGGCTGCCAATAGGGGAAGGAATACTATCACAATCGGAAGCACCTGAAATAGACGACGCAGATCTGGATACGAAGTCGTTGTAGTTCTTGTTAACAGCGTAGTAAAGACCCAGAGCAGGCAAAGTATGAGATAAACGTTGATCCAACTCGGGGGAGTCAAACCCGAACCCCAACTCGATACAAGCCTTGAGTTCATCAAGGTCTTCGTCTGTTACGCTCTTGCTCCTCCCCTTTTTGCTGTTTTCCTTCCTTCCAAGCCAAGCCTCGTCACGGAGAATATCCGGTGACCAGGAGCTGGTCTTATAAAGCGGGGCTAAAGGTGGCATCATCATCGGCGGCGGCTGTTGTGGTGATTCGGATTCTAGGTTATTATTAGTCGGCGGAGGCGGGAGTGGATGAGACATGGGAACAACCGCTCCCCCGAGGAGGTCCGGAGGAACCTCTCCCGCCGGGGTGGGGAGCTCTATGGCTGGTGTTACTTTTTGGAGGTATTTGTTTGGGAGCCAAGAGGAGAATTGAGTTATAAGGTGGATTAGTTGCTCTAACTATGGTTATTATCTTTCCTTATTTTGGTTTTAAACAATGGTTAGCTGTTTCTCAGTTAGAAGATTCGTAATTGTATAGTATTTGCTTCCTCATATAATCAATCTATTACAAAATTTTAAACTAACAAAATGCAGTTGAAATAGCTTCTAATCAACCTGCCTCTAACCTTATTTTCAAAGCTTGAGTTTTCTTGATTTCAATTAATTGATAAAAGGATTTGTGGTGGATAAAAAGTAAAAAAGTTTGTTTGATAAGGCAATGAGCAGCCCATGTGATAGTTGCAGTGTCGTATACATAATAGACAAATCTTCTTCAAATTGTTATGTTAATGTGGAAGAGTAAAACCTTCATCAACAACTTAATAGTTCATTGTTTAGTGAATTGAATGGGATATTCTTCATTGGTGTGGCATAGCATATACAAAGTAATTCATAATATATAGATGCAATGGACTTTTTCAACTATTAATAATAGTCGATTAGTCATGGTCCATGTTCAACTTGAATTTTAAAATTAAAAAAAAAATCAAATCAACTTCACAGCATTATTATTATTATTATTATTGTAAAGAAGTTGGTTGCCCGACACAACAGGTCTTCTCTAAGCTCCGACTTATACTATAAGGCATCCCCTACCCCACTATCTCAATATTAATTCCCACCACCCGATTCTTTAGCCATTAATATATATGAAATATGTCAATTTATTTTCTTATATTTTATAATATCTCAATAACTCCGTTTTTCATATCAAATACCATGTTTGAATGTGGTAGCAGAGTTTCATCAATAACTTGACAAATGAAATACAATTTTTAAAAAAATATAAGCCACCTACGAACAATAAAAAAATAAATTTTACAATAGATATTTTTATTTGTAAACATTTATAATTTTTTTTTCCTTCCGGTTCTAAGGTTTCATCTTGATTAATTCGAGACTTCGCCTTGATTAATCCGGACCGACCAACATCGCACACTTAATATTAGTGGATGAGTCTCCCAAAAATAATTTTTTTACTTACGGAAGGACTCAAATTCGAGATCATGTTTAAGCGATGTCAAACTACTTACCACCTGAATCAACCATTATTGGTAAATATTTATAGTTTTTTATAATTATATTAAAATTTAATGATAAAATAAATTATTAATTTGTTTATTTGAAATAGAAACACCAAAAATATCTCTAATGGAGATTTTTTTTATAGAAATCACTAATTTTATTAAAAGAATATACCTCAAATTAAAATCTCAATTTATAATCATAATCTTAAATTAAACATATAACTATATATCCAAAAAAATTAAGCATATAACTAGGAAATTTTCCTAAAATTATTGACACAAATTTAGCAATTTAAGATCACATAAGGACTACATAAGGAAATATTAAAAACCCTAACCAAAATTTAAATAAAGATACATACAAACAGATCTGATCGCATTCGTAAACGAACCACAAAAGGAGATCAATCTATTGAAAGATCACCAATAAAACTATAAAACAGAGTCAAGCGACGTAAAAAAATATCTAAGAATGTAAAACAAATATCCAAATCCAATCTGGTGATTCAAAGTAGGAAAAATCAGCATGATAACATATAAACATCATCTTGATTAATCGTGAATATATCAAATCAACCCTTAAAAAATAAATGTAAAACAACATTCAAACAATTGAAAATGTGTCAAAAGATAAAAAAAAATGTGCAATAAAAATAGATAAAAACGTACCATAAAAATATATTTATTAAAAATTAAAAAAATAAAATAATAAAAAATATCAACAATCGATGTAAGAAGAATAGAAACAAATTTTGTAACTATCGAATTTAAAGTTAGACGTAAAAATGAAATTTTTATTTTAATAAAAATCTTTAGTTGTTATCAGTTTTCTTAAACAATAATTATTACCGGCTCAATTGACGTGTATATTTTTTTAATTAATCATTGATATCTAATTTATTGACCGACTAATTCAGATCGAGTACTGCAGTGGTGAGAGCAACCCTCCCATCCCAGTTTACTTCATTCGCAAATGTTAGGATTCAAATCACTGTCCTTGCTTAAGGGACCTAGTGTCTCATCCTACTGGACTAACTGGTTGTTGGTAATTGATGTGTATATTAATTTTTAAATAAATTTAATATTTTTTTGAAAAAGGGTACTTTGTATTTTAAACGAATGCAAAGTACACCACCTCAAGGCCCTCATTAAAAAACCTCCCTAATCCTAAATGAAGGAAAAAAAGTGAACCAAGAGGTGGAAGGAAATAAATACAAGGACAAACACATAGATCCAGCATAGCAAACCCCCGACCACAAGAATGCTCACACAAACACCCATACACAAACTCCAATCAGAACATATTGGACTACCGAACCTGAACTAAAAACGAAACAAACATCAATATGGATGGTCCGCCCCACTGCGAGACCCAGATACACCAAACCTGAAAAACACTACATAACACCAAGACTTCATCGATCTTCAACAAGCACGCAAAAACAGCGAAACGTTCCTTAACACTCCTCCACTATTATGCCACCACAAAAACCTCTTGTATAGGAACCACATAATCACCCTTTAGCGAAGAAACTAATAGCAGTGGCTCCTCCAAATTGACATAAGCGCAACCCACCTTCTCTGCAGAATAGAATTTACTATAGCATCACACAGTCCCCACTCTGAGTCCACGTGATACTCCAATACAAACTGTCGGGATATCACTAATTGACAGCTCTATCACATGCACAACAACAATAGCATCACACAAATCCAACCTCAGACCCCCTCTAACGCCTTACTAACAACCACCAAAGAATAAAAAATACCACTCCTCTGGCAATCAGAACCATGCACAACAACCCTATTAGGAACTATCGGAGAATCAACTGCAACAACCCATACCTCTTCGGAACAAAAACCAACACCTGCATCATCAACACAAGTAGACCACAATTGAATAAAAAGAAATCTCAGAAAGGAGCTTGCAGACACCCGCACAAAATCCTTATTTCCACAAGAAGACCATCACACAAATGACCAACATGTCAGAGACCTACCTCCGACAACCTCCCATAAACCAAAGCAAAGCTAACCCGAGAGCTCAATCACTTGATCTTAGGTTCACCGCCTTTCGATGCAGAGAAAACATCACCCACCGCCTCACCCACACAAGACAATGCCACCATATCATTTTCAGCTTCAACCGAACTGCAGAGGTCACCCTTGCAGAAAAACCGCAAACAACCACACCTATACTGTCTGCTAGACTCAAACTTTCGCCTCCTCCAAGCAACAACACTCGATCATACAAAGCAGATCACCAAAAACAAAAGACAGAGCCCGCCCACAGGCCACTGGACAACCATCACCAACCAACAGAAAACGGAGAAATGAAGAATTCCCATAATACAGCAAGGCAACCGATAGCACATGAGCCACGGTAAAACAAAATAACAAAAAAACAACCTACTAAGAACCTAACACTAAAATAATACTTAAAGAAAACTGCTCCAGTTCCTCTTAACGCCACGAGAAAACCTCAAGGCCGAAGCCAAAACCCTTCACAACCCCAGACACACAAATACCAAACTCAAACAATTTTAGATGCGCTAAAACCTTGAGCACACCAGTCACAGAAGCAAAATCAATCACGGATCCGTCCCTATAGCCAACTCGACTTCTCTTCATAAAAAAGGTACACACACAGAAACTCACTATAACGACCACAATCTGCCAAAAACCTACCCAAAGAATATAGCTTGGTAGATTATCCACAAACATCGAAGCAGATACCGATAGAAGACCATAAACAAGTCGAATTAGGTGTATAACAAATATACTTATATTACTAAATTACCAATGATCATCACTCTTAATGTAATTACTGCTACGCATGGTCAAGTAGACTACCCGTGAAGAAGTCATCAATGTCCAAAGCCTCCCTTCTTTATCATTTGGTATGCAGAACCATTAAGTTAATAAATATTCCTAAAGATATCTGGTATTATATATATTTTTGTTTTAAGGATATCGTACTTAAGCTTATTACTAGGTTTAGCCATTTTCTAATTACTATTCTGTTTGTACGTTTTAAAATATTCATCATGATTTAAATAAAAAATCATGTTTATAAATAATGATTAAAATTATTTAGGTCTACATGTTTTATACTTTGTCACGCTATATGTTTCAAGTTGACAAATTGATAATTCAATAATCCAAATGCAATAAGATGTGGGATTCGTTGCTTACAACAATCAATATTAATTTTTCAAATCGAAGCCAAGAATATTAAAATGTGCAGCAACAGTCATGATGATGTTCCAACTTAAAGCAATTCGTTACTTCACTTATAACGTAATTAACAGTTTAAACAACAATTAAATGACAAGTCTAAGTAAACTTTCCACTCATAATTGATCCATATGCTATATTAATGAGTATAGATTCTACTAACCATTAAAGTAAGATGAGATATTAAATCTCTCAAATAAGATTAAGAGTTTGAATCTTAATGTAATGAGTAGAATAAACTGAATTTAGAGAATTATTCTATAATATACATTTATAATTAGTTAAACAATAAATCGAATTTCAGTATTACTTACTATTTACAAAGAACAAACTAACCTTGCGAAAAACTTCAGCAATTGATCATTAAGGGAATCAGTTTATGAGTATTGATTGGTATCATTGAAGTAGATTCTTTTTACCATTGTGGAATGTTTGTGTAGAGAGCGTCAGTAGCAGTGGCGGAACGCCTAAAGCACTACTGGGGCCATGCCCCCAAAAAGTATTTTATATATATATATATATAATATAGGGTAATTACATATTTAGTATATAATCTATTACTTTTATTTCATTTTAGTACCTAATTTTTTTTAAATCATACCTAACGTTTAGCTTAAATTTCATTTTTGTACCCTACAATAAAAATTTTAACAATGATATTAATGTGTCAGCATAAGATAATGTC